ACCTGAAGAACGGAACAGAACAGAAACATTACGGAACACTAATAACCGGCTAATCTCGCTAACAACGCAGATTACCAGCACTAAACACTCTCACCTAGAGAGATCTTATTACTTTAATTTCCGTATTAATTACTCCTTAATCAGGTACTAACTTGACCGTTGGAGGCGAAGCTCTCAGGAGTCTCCGTTATTTTGCAGGTACAGGCGTCCGGTTCCAGTCTCGGAATTGTAACTCTCCCGCAGGACATCAGAAAACCCCGAAACAGTTTCGGTCTAGTGTGGGTGGGGTTTTGGTTGGGATGGTTTCGGTTTGGTGTGGGTAGGGTTTTAGTTGGGGTGGTTTCAGTAGGTGTGGGTGGGCTTTTGGTTGGGGTGGTTTCGAATTGGTGTGGGTGGGGTTTTGGTTGGGGTGGTGGGTCTATTGGTAGTGGGTGAATTGTGGTGTTGGTGGTGTTTTTGGTGATAAGGGTTGGGATTTGGTTTAGGTGGGGGTTTTGGTGGGTGGTGAGGTAGGTTAGGGTTGGTAGGGTCTGGTGGGTTAGGGTTAGGTGGGTTAAGGTGGTGGGTCTGTTGGGTTAAGGGTTAGGTGGGTTACGGTGGTGGGCCTGGTGGGTTAGGGTTAGGTGGGTTAAGGTGGTGGGTTACGGTGGTGGGTTACGGTGGTGGGTCTGGTGGGTTAGGGTGAGGTGGTTTTTTATTTTTTTTGTTCAGCATTTTCCAACGGAATTTCCGCCAGAAATTTCCGACGGAATTGAGTCCGTCGGAAGTTTCCGACGGACCTTTCCGGTGCTGGAAAACCTTTTCCGACGACTGAATTCCGTCGGAAAAGGTCGTTTTTCCTACAAAACATTTTCCGACAACCAATTCCGGCGGAAATTCCGTCGGAAACACGTTTTCCAACGGAAAACAGGGTGTTTTCGACGGAATTTTTCCGTCGAAAATGGGTTGTTTTCTAGTAGTGAATAAGCCTTAGCTAGTATCCATCAACAATCACCTCAATCATCATAATCATCTCTTCTCTCTCTTGATCCCCATGTTCTTAGCCTTAGCCTAAACACTTTCTTGATACTCTCCTAAATCAAACAAAATACCTCCTTTCCGAGACTTGAATACTCCAAGCCATAGTCGATATTACCTTCGACCTCGACGTGAAAGGTTGATAGTTCTGAGGGTTTGGTCCCAAATGTATACTTCAATTCTTATTTAATTGAGTTTATTATTTACTTTATTAATTAACTTTCTTGAAGTTTATTAACGTGTGTATTGTTTTAATAGGAAGAAGGTTGAGGCATCAAAATAAGTAAGTAATGCTTAGAATATTACTTTAATTCCTAGTATCATGTTAGGATGTTGATTATGATTTTTAGTATCATGTTTTTAGGATAAAGCTTTGATTTTATTATTAGTGACATGCTAGGATTTGTTATTAATCTGATTAGTATCATGCCTAAAATCTTGCTATTGATGATAATATGATGATTTGATTATGATGATGATTGTTGTGTTAATCATAATGTTGCTTGATTATTCATGATTATTGCTATCGCTTGATCACGCACCTTTCTGCAGGTTTAAAGGGAATTTGTACATGAAATCACGCCTAACAAGATAGTTAATAATTTGATTTAGGCTTAATATAATTTTAATTCAAGTGATCACCAATGTTAGATTTGATTGTGCATTAATAATCAACCAACGTAGATTAAATATGCTTAGGATTAATTTGATGAATGTATGTTGATCGGAAAGCGCACATGAATATCATAAGAATTAAGTAGAGGCCGATTTAGGGCGGGTTCAATCTCTTTTAGGTTGGATTCTTACCATCATCCCCAAACATTTAGTCATGGTTCCAGACCACTATGGAGTTAACGATCTCCGTGATCGTGAATGGGGTGTAACTTTCACACCCGTGAACGATTTACAAGTTCCTAAAACTTGTTGGCGACTCTTTTATCTCTAGCTTCTTTCCCTTGGAGCTCCGCCATGCCTAAAAGCATGAATCACAGTAGGGCTCAACAAGATATAGAGTGTTGAAAAATTCCCTACAGTAAGACATCATGCTCCTATTATTCTAATTATATTATTTTCATTATGATTTTGATGTATTAATTGTTATGTTTTATGGTTAAATTGCTTCCAATTCAATATTATTTGTATATTCTATTGTATTGTTGATCACCTTTTGTATGCTTAGTGGGAATATATATGTAATTCAAAATCACGACTAATATGATAATTTGGACGACCGTTTTAATTAGGTACCTTTAATCTTATTGTTAATTAAAGTGATCATTAATATTTAGACTTTATGTGTGCATTAATATTCAACCAATTTAGCTTAATCTATTTTGGAGCAAATTGAATCTTTGTTTTTACGCATTTGAGATCGCTGAAAATACTTTTCATTATAAGAATCGAGTAGAGGTTAATACGGGCGAAGTTGACTTCCATGACTCACTTCGTACTATCATCCCCGATCCTTTTTTGTTGTTCGTAACCATATGGAGTTAGTAATCTCATGGATTATGAATGGGGTGTAACCTTCACGGATCAAATTGTTGTTGCCTTTCGTTTGGTCCTTTTTCGTGGTTGCCTTTAATGATCCGTGAATGGTTTACAAGTTTCTATAAAAACTTGTTGGCAGCTCTATATTTTTATTGTTCCCAATCGTATAATGTCAAATCCCACTACCTATGATTGGCAAACATATTCACCACATGCATAAGTAAGCGCGCTTTGATCGGCGCCTACAATGCTACACAATTATAAACTCACAATCAGAACAGCCTCGCTACTTCAATTGTGCAATGCAAATGATATATTTCCAATTTAATACTTCAATTGTGCAATGCAGATGCTATACAACCATATGCATCCTCGGAATTGCATGCAATGATATACAAGGAGAAATAACTAAATCCAATAGAAAGCATATTTCACTTAGATGGTATTCAACCATAATGCTAATTGAAACTTTTATTTAATATCAAGATACAATATTTGACAACTTAAAATAGTAAATTCACGAGTCAATAAAACACACAAATTGAAAATCAAAATTGTTTTTAAGATACACTAACCTCGGCAATTTAACTACCCCTAACATCACTCCATCCATCAACAAAGTGCATTTTCGTTCAACTTCAACTATGGAAATGGATCAATTTTAACTTTCAGATCAAGAACAATAAATTACCCAAACAACACCACAACACTCAATTAACTAATCTCCACCTTTCCTCTACGCTTCGTTGCACAAAGATTTTACCATAAAGTATGAACTTGAGAGGAATTCTATGGCAAATTATTAAAATAGAGGATTTTATTTTTAATCCAAGGAAAAAAAAATTAATTGTATATGTTGATAGTGCGAAAAAATAAAATCTCGCTTAACCTCAATTATTTGGCTGAAAACACAAAGAAACATGCAAACTTTAACTAGGCCCCATTGCAAAGCTGTCTTTTTTTTCCCACTTTTTTTTTTTATATTATTTTTTATTTTTTTTTATTAAATAATACACTAATACCCTTAGTTGAGTTCTCTAGGACTCAAGTTCTTAGAGGCAGAGAAATTCTTGCACCTATAGTGGCGTATCTTGAGTGCTTGAGGTTCTCCCATGGTGGCTGCATGATAAAGAGGATAGGGTTTTATCGAGGAAGAAAGGGAAAAGGGGGTTTTATAAGAGAGGGGCTATGACTTTTGGAGGAAAAGCTTTAACCATGGTTAAGTTTATTTTTTTTAATCACCCTCATTAATGTCATAAATAAGATAAAAATCTTAATTAAGACTATATCTAATTAAAAAAAAAGGTTATTACCGTTTCAATATATCACTTTTACAGGATTTTTAATGAGAATTATTCCAAAAAACTAAAAAAAAAAAGAAATAGATGAAGTGTTGCAATTAAAATAAAAAAACCCCGAGGGAGTAGTAAAGAAAAGGAGGCTGCCAGGTTAATCACAATGATAAACATTTTTGGTTTATCAAATGGCATTTGTGTAATTATTTTGCTTTGAATATCGTGCAACATAATTGTTTAATAATTTCTTAATGTTTTCACTAGTTGTCGATTACATACTATCTAGACCCCACTTCAACGACGTTAACCCATGAAAAGAAACGGCGTGAATGCGAGTTAACTTCTAACAATATACAGATTTACTTTCATCCATGGAGTGAAATCATTTTACTGGGTGCTCATGGAAAGTTATCTCAACATTAGTGAAGACTATAGAGAGGGAAAATGAAGAACGAGGTCCCTTTTTTTTGATGTCGTATTTGCTCTTTGATCATAACAAAACACAAGGTTATGTTAAATTTCGTTACCCAATGCGTTCTGATACTCATGGAGAAGTTATCTCACGTGCTTGAATTAGGCGAACATCAAATATACCCAATTCCTTTCAATTATAACTTCTGATATTGTTGAAATTATTGATTGATTAAACAATTATGCAAACACAGTGCATGACAAACACATACAGAGTGAACTGGTAGCATTGAAAAGAAGAAACACTTACAATTTTTGAATGCTCGTAAATGAGGATAAACAATTACAGCCAAACCGTGACGAGCCAACGAAGATCATTGAACCAATGAAAATAGCAGACAACAATGAAAGTTGGATACCGTCAATGGTTGTTCTTGAATCTTTTTTTTAAAGGTTTAGCAAATAACCCAATTTGAAAGGAAGACTATAGAGCTCACAAAATGCGAATTCACAAAAGAGAGAAAAAAACATAAATGAACTAACATCTTCATCTAAACGATAACCGATATCTACATATCCACTGACGACGTAAAATTATTGGATAATGCCAGATAATGCCATTTACTAATTGAATATCATCATATACATTTGTACCTTAACTAGACAAAACAACCCTTGATAACCCACTCAGAATTACAAAAACAACCTTAGATAAACATTTTTTATTAGCGTGATAAACTTGTATTTTTCTGCGAGTTAACATGTTTGGACAAACTATAAAGCGGAATAAAAATAAAAATAAAGTGTAGTGTGGTTGTGGCCGTTAACGTCAGCCAGCAACAGTGGTGAGTTGAAAGAGAGTAGTCGACTGGAGAGAGAAAGAGAGCGAACGACGAAAAACAAAGAAGCAACCCAAGATGTTTTTGAGGAGAATTGCAAGGCCATTAATGGCGAAAGTGAAGGAAACAACAGGGATCGTAGGTCTAGACGTAGTCCCAAATGCGAGAGAAGTTTTGATTTCTCTCTACACCAAAACCCTAAAAGAGATCCAAACTGTTCCTGAAGATGAAGGCTATCGCAAGGCTGTTGAGAGCTTCACGCGCCACCGTCTCAAGGTCTGTGAAGAGGAGCCTGATTGGGAGATCATCGAGAAGCGTCTTGGTTGTGGTCAGGTTGAAGAACTCATTGAAGAAGCTAAGGATGAACTTACCCTTTTATCCAAATTGAATGGTATGTTTGTTTGTTTCTTTGTTTGTTTTTATCTTGATTTTGTTTACATTGATGAAATTTTGATTTTTGATGAATTTATCTTTGATTTTGATTGGAACCCTAGTTTATTTGAGGTTGATTTTAAATGGGGTGTGTTTAAGATCTATGGATTGAATGAAATGTCGTCGAAATGGGTGTTTTGTATCGCAAGATGTGTAATGGATTCAGTAAGAAGGTTTTATTCGTCGCTATTTTCGGCTGTCGATTAGGAATATTGAGCCACAAATTAGGGGTAAGAGGAAGAAATGAGGGTTGGTTTTGTGCATTATAGTGTCAATGCTAACCTGATAGTTAGGTTTAGCTCTTATGTGGTTAATTATCTAATCTTTTGATTGCGACGGATTGGATTCTGAAAATATAGCATTTTGGCTTTTGTAAATCTACATTGAATTATGGGGTTTATTTCACTTTCGCCTCTTTTTAAGTAATCCATCAGTCTTAGTGGAGTTCAATTATGAGCTTCATTTCAGTGGTACTATATTAGGTTCTTCAACGGAATGATTTTCTTTCATCAATCTCCGTGGTGTGCAATTTGGCATGCTTTTTGATCTAGCATTTTGGTTTATGCACATAAAGTTAGCAATATATTATATAAGTTGCTCAAAATCTCACTAAGTTATTTGTTGATTATAAGTTAAGAATACACGTGTGGTAGTCCATATGTATGGCGAGAAAAGCAATCATGTGTGACGTGTTTGAGACAAAAAGGGCTTTCTTAATTGCTGTGGCCATGTAAAATTTTAACAGGCTATATATATAGAGTCTGTGAGTTATGGACCCACATATGCAACTGACTTTGGAAAGTAAAAAGGAAATTAAGGTTTATAATCTTGTCAAATTATGAGACAACGAGACTAGATTTCTACTTGTTTCACCCTGATCATTAGGCACTTATTCAATGCTTGGGATAGCAACTGGCCTTGTTCTTGTTCACTACTATGCTTTGTCTCCAATAAACACACATTGAACCTACTTCTTTGCATTGTTGACAATAGTAAAGATTGAAAATAGCTCGTTTTTTCTCCTTTTCAATTATCATTTCACTGCTTGAGTTGTCGACCCACAAATGCTGCAAATGTAGGAATTGAAGAGTGAATGGTAGATGCTACTGTCAATGGGTCGTGAACATCTATATCTGATTTTCTTCACATTTGACTCTTAATCTTAGGCACTTTTGCAATGCTTGGGGATAGAAAATGGCCCACATAAATATTCTGGTCAATTTCTGAATCCCTTCCTGCTGCTTTTTGATAAACACACTTTTGATCCTTTGAATCATCTTGTCAATTGGAATATCCCTTTCATTAGTCGTTAAGTGCTTCTCCTTCAGTCTTTGATAAGTTACTTCCAGATTCAAGTCACGTTCAGTAGAGTTTGGACTGGGAAGCACCTTAATCTGTATACAATAATAGCAAACCATGTATTATGTATAGGCACTTGGGGTTAGTGGTCATGCTTAGGTGGTCGTCACTGCCATCTCAATGACATATTTTTGATTCAACTGAAGGACCTTGGTGCATATAGATTTTTCTTCTTTGTATAGTAGTTCAACCTATTATATAGGAGAAGTTATAATGTTGCATGCATATTTTTTATTTTGCATATACTTGCTTACACATATGCCCCTAATAACATTGACATTTAAGCAGTTCATTCTGATGAATTCTTGGAATTGCCTTTTAGTTTTAACTACAGATGATTGATGTTGTTCAATGTAACTGCTTTTTCCTCATAATTCCAATGATTTCCATTCCTATATGAAATATGATTTCAGTCTCATTTTGGATGTTATTGCTTTATGACACTGGTCACTGAGTGAATGGCACTATGTGAGGTATACACTTGTTGAAGTGATTCCAGTGTCCTCATAAGTTTTGTGGGCCCACAATGAGCTGATAACTTGCTCAATTGGTCTTCCCTTTGAAACGCATCACTCCTTTCCTGTTTCCTTGCTAGTCAAACAAAGATAATAAGCGCAAATTACCTATTATATCACTTATATCAGTTATAGGGGTCCTTGATCAAAAAATTACTTAAGTGCAAAAAGTGTGCTCAAATTTCTAATGACTAATAGAGTCTATTGTAACTAAGTTGATTAAGAATCTCTCATTGTTTTCAATGTGATAAGTCCTGATAAGAAGTGGGTATTCTGAGCAATATCCCAGGTTGTTACTATTGTATATATTCTTTTTCTAATGAGGATATTTAGGCATTATGCTGTGATATATATGTGCATGACATTTGAAATTTTTTTTTAAATTCTGTATTAAAATATATCTTTACTATAAAGGTTGGGTAGAAAATATTTTGTAATACTTAATTATATTTTTATAATACTAAATGTTAGATGATATGAAATAACCAACAAAAACCAATTTTCAATCCAAACTTCAATGTTCAAGATGTAATTTGAGAGGGAACAAATAACAAAGATAAACTTATCACATCAATCACCAAGTTTGATTCAATAAGGGTTTAATCAAAGCCTAACACAAAGTAGGGCATAGATTAGAGCATAAATCACATAGATTTCAATAAGCACAAAGATTATGAGATCTCATGAGATTAAAAATTAAGCAAAAGTTATTCTCAATAGCAAGCTTAGCTCTATTTAAAGGCTTTACAAATAAACCTAGAGTTCTTGAATTATACCCCTTGGATTACAAATGAAAGGCCAAGATTAAAAGCAAGCTAAGAAAAACAAAAAAAAAAAAAAAAAAGCCCCTACAAAACAGAGGCTCTGGAGCACTCTTTCCACAGGGTTGGAGCGGTCGCTCCGCTCCAACAGAGCAGTTGTTTCAAAACTTTGCTAAATATCCCAATTCTGGATGGAGCGAGTGCTCTAAAAGGTGGAGCGGGCGCTCCAATGGTCGGAGCGAGCGCTCTAGCGGTTCCACGTGGAAACGCTTATAATTTCTTCGTTTCTCGCTCAAATTGGGCATGAGACCTATCATTGGAAAGCTCTTGGATTCTATTTTTGTCTCTAATTTGAATCACCTGAAAAATTGCTTGTAACGAAGAAGATATAGCCATTTGAAGTTGAGTAGTCCATTTTTGATTAAGTACAAGCCTCTCTTTTTCATCCTTGTTTCCATGCTTACATCTTCCACCATCTATTGTAAACTCAAGACACAAGGATTGCTCTTATTCACCTAAACCACATCATAACATAGAGAATTCATCCAAAAAGTTGATTGAGCTATAAATGCCACTAAACATATCATATAGTCGTATAACCCGTAGGTTTCAAGGACGCTCCCGCATCATTAGAAGTCTAACTAATGGTGCATATGTTGTAAGAAGATATAATTTATTAATTATAAGACTTAATTATATTTAGTTTCTAAAACATTAAAGAATGATGTAATGTTAGGTTGTTGGTTATGTTTTCACTTTTCATTTCAAGGGTCACGTATTCGATACTTTGTAGTGACAATGTTTATTTTTTTTAAATTAGGCCCTTTGCATAAGAGGAGATATATTTAAACATTAAACTTTCTCTGCACTCTTTGATATATTTAGTATAGATTCTAATTTAACATATTTTTTTAGCTTGTGTTCCTCGTGTTTCATGGTCATGCTTTAAATGTTGGTCTGTCTAGGTAGGGAGAAGTTTTGAGAAAGAGTAAGAACCATGTGCTGATGTGCATTAGGAATTTAGGTGTTTCTGATCTTATTTCTCACTTAGTCCTAAGTACTTTTTTGCAGGATAGTAATTCAAGGTGCGATTTTAAAAATATATATTTAGGCAGAGATGTATGCATAAATAATTAATTGTTTAAATTTTGGTGATGGAATCTTCAGTATTGTAATGCTTATGTGAAATTGGTGTTCTGTAAGTTCTAATATAGTTTAGTGCATTAATTTATTTATTTATGTTTTCCAATCGGAACCTATGCTGCCCAGACTCAGATTTGGGTGGCATATTAGAGTAATCCGACACTTCGTCACGACAAGACACCCAAATATATAGTGACTTTATGTGAAATTTTATAAATTCTGGAGTATACACGACACTCGACACAGTAGGGTATCATATTTGGAAACAATTTGCCTTAGTATTGTAGAGAAGAGGGATGAACTCACCTACATTTTTAGCACGCTACTGTTTATGTGGTGTTTTGTTGGTGTTCCCAAAATTGCTCTTATGTTGCTTGTCAAAGGTAGTAGGTTATTAGAGCATGTCTAGCTTCCTCTAAGAATATATTTATGCTTTTTACTTTATGGTTAATTGGATATATATGCACAACGATACACAAAATTCTTCAAGAACAAATCAATAATTACCTTAATGTTATCTACTACCTCAGTTTCATATAATTTGTGCAACTTTTGCCAGAAATGGATGTTACATATTATTTGCAACAAATGTTTTCTTTTCTTTTTAGGTTGTCATTTCTCTCTCTCTCTCTCTCTCTCTCTATCACACGTTTCCATATTTCTTACTCCATTTTACACTCAAACAAATTTCCAAAGTTGCAAACAATATGAAACGGAGGTAGTTTAAGATTTGATGAATGTTATCTTCATCATTTGAGTACAAGGTTTATCAAAATGATACTAGTGTGCAAAGTACAAACTAGCTAAAGACTATAAATTTTATTGTTATACATGACCCACCTTTATATTTTCTTTTTATTTTATCATTTAACAACCTTGAATATGCTACATATTCATCCCCCCCCCCCCCCACAAATGGCTCCAAGGGTTGAGAAGGAATGAGAGAATTTTATTAGTATTATGTATGAGCGTATCTCACTCAAAAGTGTGAATGAGTATTCTTTAGGATGGTTCAGATTAGAATATCTTACAGAAACAATTTCATTTATCTTATCCGTGACTTCAGATTCTTAACTAATCAAATAAAATTATACAATAACCTTATCAGCAGAGATTTTGCTGTGGATTTATTGAGGGATATTTTCATGAGATGGGTTCTACAAGTATTCCTTGAAACAAATGTCAAAAGTTTCCTTTATATCTCATCCTAAGAGCAACAGTAGCTGCTCCTTTATGTTTTTCTTGCGTCATCCTCCTTTTTCTACATGCTTAAACTCTGCCAAACCTGTTCCCATGAGGCAACGATAAGTTCTTTCAATCAATGGTCATCTATCTGTCATTCTTTTTCCTTCCCCTGAGAAAGATTTGTTGAGCTTTTTGTTGCCTTGCTGAAATAGCCTTTTTTTAATTTACCTGGATATTAACTGCTCATTGCTGTCAGCCTGTCATGCTTGCCAGTGGATTTGTTTGGCTCGTTGCTTGCTCAATAAAGCATATGTGGATATTATCGTAGACTGCTCGGTTCAGGATTAGGGAGTGAGCAGGCCAAAGAGTACACATTTGATTGACATCTATATACTAGGTTGTACTAGGCAAAATTAAAAATAGTGCTCAGCACAGTAATACATCGTTTTTATTAGTTGTGGCCATTTGACTTTTGCACTATTCACATAAGTTACTTTGACTATCTTATGTGGTTCTATGTAAGGGTTATGTAGGATCTTGAGATTTGTCTTGATTACTACTTTTTAGAAATTAAGTTTTTATAATTTCTATCTATCTAGAATTACAAATATTAATGACTGAAGCTATGCATTGACAAGCTTTTAAATTTTGTAAAAATGTACTACTATAAAAAAATTGAGGAAGTATTTCAATTAGGTTAAGTAATGAAAATAAGATAAAAGATTAGTATTAGGGTTGACTTTGAGTTGGTTACTAAATTATAAAATTGACAGTTATTTGGTCTCATCTTGGAGTAGTGAGACAAAAATTTGAGTAGAGTGCTCTTGGGAATGCCTATTGAGCTGATGTCTTCCTGTTCGTTGCATAAGCATGCAACTTGTTGATGCTGGGTTCTTAGTGGATCATAAGAATCACGAACTTAGCGTACATTTTGGTTTGCTTTGACCAGGTACAGGGTTGATTATGAGTTGGTTTCTATTTAAGAAAATTGACTGTTATTTGGTCTCATTTTGTAGTGGTAAGGCAATGTACTCATAAGCATACAGTCAAGTAGAGCACACAAGTAAAGAAAAATTGAGAGCCTTCCTAACTTCAAATACTCTTCAACTTGCAACTGATGCCCTAGCTGCATAATGAAAGTTTTAATTGGATTTTGTAACAGTTTGTCTTATTTAAGCATTGTGGTTTCTACAGGATTAAACATCCTTCACTTGCTACTTACCTGATCATGGTTTTGCATGTTTCTTTGTCTGTTCACTTTGACATTCTCCTGGGTTATATGGGTCTGCATATTGTGTATTTAACATAGTTCTAACCTGTTGATTTTACAGAGTGGAATCCATGGGGTGTTGATGATGACTATGAGTGTGAGGTTATTGAGAATGACGCTCCAGTTCCAAAGCATATTCCATTGCACCGGCCTGGCCCTCTACCCGAGGAGTTCTACAAAACGATGGAGGCAATTGCTTCAGAACCTGTGAATGAGCCAGTCATTACAGATGGTGGTGATTCAAAGTCAACGAAGCAGGATGCTGCCTGATCATTGCTTTATTTTGAGTTTGCTGCATATTTGGCTGTTTGGAGGCCAAATCCATATGTTCTATTGTCTTTGATCTCTTCAATGTAGCGAAAGAAAATTATTTACTGATCTGACAGGCACAATCTGTTTGTTTCAATAAAATAAAAGTTTAGGTGCTTTGTCCTCCTTTTGGTATGAGTTGATGGCACTAGACGATTGCTTTGTATGCACAAAGCCTTATTTTTGATGTGTTGTTCAGATGAATGTGTACTGAGCATCCGACTCTACCAATGTTGTCAATTTTTTTGTCTCATCAATATCATACAACCTGATTTAGATTTTCTTACAATAGCTATACATTTTCATCTTAATTATTTTTTTCTTTCAAGTTGGAGGTGTCCCTCCTACCTCTTCCTTTGCTTTTCCCAACTTTACCGTCAATCAACTTATTACGGATTTGTTTAGTTCATCTTATTTTTCCTTATCTAATCTAATTTCAGCTCTTTTTTTTATTTTTTATTTTTTTATATTTATATTTTTATTATTATCTATTTGTCAAAGAATTCTTGTACTCCCCCCCCCCAAGCTGGGCTCAACCCAACACGGTGCACGGACTAGCATACTTTTGTCCTTTTGTTGGCAATCATTATCCTTTTGTGATATTATATTGTGAGCAAATGACAATAATAATACTAATAATGACAAAATAAATATTATCCAAACAATATTTAAACTATTAATGACAATATGGTTTTTAGTGTTTAATCAATATGAATTCACTTTTATGGTACTAGTTATCTCTACTCTACTACTTATATATCATAATGAATGCTCTTTTCAAGTTTAATGCCCACCATCCTTCGCTATAATAACTGTCTAATAAGAAAGTTTTGACCAATACCTGAACTTAGTTAGCAATGGAACCTCCATAGCTAACCCCAACCCTGCCTTCCTTAGATCAACGGATCTAATTTGTTTCCTACCTTAGACCGTAATCTCTACTTAAACAAGTTATATTGTGTTTTTGATGAACTTTTAACCAGATAAGTAATTCATTTGAGATATAAAGTTCAAGAGGATAACGTTCCCTCCGCTCTTGAAAGAAATTTTTTTATTTAATAAGGAAAGATTACAACACTCATATCTTACAACACAAGCTGAAAGCTTAAATAGACATGAACTGAACTAGAGTTTCTCTACTTTAAGAGAGATGGAGAACCAATCTGTCTCTTAAAGTGAGTAATTTTTCTACAAGACTCCCTAATGTTTTCAGAGAAATGCTCTAACTAACTCCTTCAACTTTTTTTTGTCTTCTTATTTTACCATCCTTTATATAGCAAAGGATTCTTATCTTCTACTGACACTCATGACTCCGCAAGTTCATAAGAACCACTGCTTTTACAAAGATATTTTCAAAAGAAATACAGAAGATAAAAAACATGGCTACAGTAGATTGCATGATTGTTATTGTGAGATCAGGAATCCATTATCTCGTCCATCATCATGTCCTGTAGACCATCTTCACTGTCTTTACTATCTTCATAATGGACATACATGGGATTATCATCCTTTATGCCGAGATATTTAACACATTTGACAGCATAGGATTCGTCCCACGTCATGAAAGCTTCAAACAAATACTCATGTCTTTCGAACGATAGAAATTTTCCACTCTCAACATCTTCTAAATATTTGTAGATCGACTCAATATTGTTTATGTCATCTACTAAATATTCTCTCATTTCGTTTGGTGCTACATTTGTTGTATTACCCACATGGAATATAACAGGAGTATTGTCAATTCTTTTTATAAAGTCATTGAGATATTGCGAGATGTAGAAAAATCCCAGTGCTCTGGCTTCAGTAGGATTTTTAACAGTCTTCTGACGAACTAGTATGGGATCTTGGCTACTAAATGCTATTTTCACAAACATTATCAAATAATGAGGGGGACAAACTTTTCCTTCTATAACTTCAATATTCGCACATTGCACCCTTGCTTGAAGACTTTCTTTCTTGTCATCACAAAACCTTCGGACCTTATTGAATGCATATTGTTAGAACTTTGTAAGCTTTGGAAAGAATGAGTCATTAGGAGTAGGGAAATCATAAAAGGCATGTACCATCCCATAATCCCAAGCTTTGTAATATTTTGATGAATGGAGCATCCCGATTAAGAGGATATGGATTAATGCGTAACGACACTACCTTAGAGTTTGTAGGAAACTCTACTCGTTCTCCACATAGATCTCGCACATCAAAGAATCGACGGGATCTTGTTACTACCAGCTCATACCATGTTCTAAAATCATTATCTCTTATTTTATTGAGTATTGTATTTTGTAAATCATGAATGAGTTGAAATAAACATCAATAGCCTTTGGACTGCTCAATGACAGCCCTTGATTAAACCATCTCGTGATCGTTGTTTTGCTGAAATGATCAAGCCTTGCATTAAGGCCCAACTGGAGGGTGAAACCCACTCCATTGCTTTCTCTGTTTCATCAATGAGAGTTTTTCTCTCTGCATCCATCTTTTGAAGTTGGTGTGTAGGAGGTTTATGTGTTTCCTTGAGCTTCTTCGACATTGGCTATTTCTCTGGTCAAACTGTCTACCAAAGAATTCTTTGATCCTTGAATATGTTCAATAGTAAACGAAAATTGGTTAAGCCATAATTGCCAACATAGGAGTCTCCCTTGCGCTTGCATATTAGACAAATTCTTTTTAACAAAACCAAGTATGCCTTTGCATTCAGTTCTAATTAGAAACTGCATTGGGGCTAAGAAGATTAGAAACTTCTCGATCCCTCTTATGACTGCAAGGATTTCCTTTTGCACTGTAGGATAATTTAACTCAGCTTTATTAAAACTTCCGCTGCTGCATCTGCAAAGTATTTCTCCTTCTTTTATTTTTAACACAGCACTCCAGCGCTCATTACTAACATTTGTTTCAAGGATTAAATCATCTTCACTAGTAGGAAGGTTAGCATAGGAAGATATTTACACATAGTTTTTAAATCTTGACCAATTTTGCTATCATTTTTCTTCTAATTCCAAGTTATTTCTTTCTTGAGTTTTTATTGTAATGGTTTCCTTAATAGAGCAAGATTTTCTATGAAATCGGAAGCATAGGTTAAACATCCTAGAAAACTTTCTAGTTGTTTTCTATCTTCAATTTCATCTAGCAATTTTTCAATCTTTTCCAGGATATGTTTTGGTAAGATTATTTGTCCTGCTTTAATTTCTAATCCTAGAAACTCAATTTCTTGTTTAGCATAGACACACTTATCTTTTCCAAGGATTATACCATGCTCAACACATTTTTGAGTTACAGATTTAAGATCATTCTTATGTTGCTCTAAATCTTTTGAGAAGATCAGAATATCATCTATATAGACCAAACAACAATGATTGAGTTCTCTTAAAATATTATCCATTCTTCTCTGAAATATTTGTGGAGCATTTTTTAATCTAAAAGGCATTACTAGCCACTCGTAGTGTCCTTAAGGGGAAATAAATGCAGTTAATGGAATGCTTTCTTCTTCAATTTTAATTTGCCAATAACCACTTTACAATCCATTTTATAAAACACAGTGTATTCTATTGAATAATACTGCTTTATTAGGAATGTAATAGCCATCAAACACAGTGTTATCATTTGGCTGTTTATAATTAATGACCATCCTAGCTTTACCTCTTTTATCTTCTGCATGATTTTTCACCATGAATGCTGGACTGTTATGAGGACTGTTGCTATTCCTAATTAACTTCTTATTCAACAATTCTTTTATTTGCTCATCAAATTCTAATATATCTTTGTAGGTATAAACCATTTGTCTTACTCTGATAATCTTATTAGGATTTGTTAAAGTTATCTTTGCAAATGCCTTATCCTTTTCCAAATGTTCTAATGGGTTTTTTTGAATATAATTTTTCAATAATTTTTCTTGCTGCTTAATTATCAGATCTATTAATGATGATTCACACTCAGAAATTTTAAGTACAACCTCTCGGTGTGTAGGTGTAACCCTATCACCACGCTGGCTGCGCGTGAATTCCATAGTCCGATGAGTATAAGCCTTTGTTATTTTCTGTATAGAAACAGAATGACAATTAATTGTAAAGATGATTTGATCAATAGTTTGAGTGCATGGAGAGTATAGTCTTTAAAAGTTATTTCCTATTATCATATCATGACTAGCCTGATCAGTTGCCCCTAAAATAGGAATAATACATTAAACACCTCCAATTTCTATTGGCAATTCCTCTATTATTTTCATATGCATCATAACACTGTTATTAGCAATTCTTACCTGCATAGGATTTTTAGCTTTTTTCAACAAGAGTTCTGGAAATAATGACCTTTTTCCAAAATATGTAGAACAACCACTATCAATATATGCACATAATTTATATTTATTATAATCTTCAAATGCACATATCAATTGGAATATAAATGCTATTAGGATTAGTACTGGATATTTCATTATAGGCTTCTATTTTCATATTAACTTCATCTTCATATACTGTTTCACTCACAGTTTTAGTCTTATATCCAATTACCTTTCTTTTTTCAAAAATAGGATTATTTGGATCCTCATTTATCTCTAAATTGGAACATGAACCAATATCAATACTGTTTAGGGTAAAAAATACCCCAACACATGGTGCAATTTCATAGTGACACGTGGCCCAATTAAAGGGCGACACGTGTCCATATAAAAAGATGACACGTAGCAACCCTAAGAGCACCTGAATGAGAGAAAAGGCCTCCTTACATCAGGAGGCCCAAATCTCGAGAAAGCCGCAAAACGACGCCCCCAAAGGACACTAACTTGATCGTCGAAGGCGAATATTCCGTCAATTGAAATATTCGTTATTTTGCAGGTGTCCAAGACCGTCCTGCTATATTCAAGACCTATATCCCGAGGCATTCTAAAAAACCCCGAAACATTTGGCGCCGTCTGTGGGGATACACGTCTGAAATGGCTAAAGATGGTCATGTTGGGTTTCGTAGAGTCCGACTCTACGGGGAAGAGAAACCCGCCCAAGACCCGCACACTAATTAAAGCGACTAAGCATGAAATCACTAATTAAACAACAATTAAAAGAGAGAAAGAAAAGACATTTTTACCCTTGGCGCGTGCTTCGATCGAATCCCGAGCTCTTACTTCAAAACTCGAACCCCGCAAATGCGAAGGTCTCCGACGGCTCGTACCCACGAACCCGACCCAAACGATGCAAGTCCCGAAGGTTAGTCGGGACCCGACCAATAAAAACTAGAGTTTTACGAACTTAAGTTTTTCTCACTTTTTTAAGGAGATGCCTTTTTAATTCCACTCAA